GCAGCGTCTACTAAACTGGAACAAGCTGATCATCCTCATTCAAGTCTCTTCATTGTCTGTCTGTGTAATTTTTCCTAAACTCCTAGTAATTTCCTTTGGATTAYCACATTTTGTAACAGGTTGTTTTATTTATTTTTGTCAGATTTTATTTTTTGGAGACATTATTGTTTATTTTAACTTTATTTTTTATTATGTAACTTTATTTCACTTGTGTTTTTCATTGTATTTTGTGAGTCGTGTTTTATCGTTGACTGTAAAATAGCTTTAGAAATAAGATTGGATTTGATTGGTCARTGTCATTTAGCTGTGGCAGTTGTCATAAATAGGGTTGATTTCAAAAGGAAAAATCWGTCATGGATTTACTAATTTATTGATCTCTTTCTAAAAGTTTCATTARAATTAGGGCTTCATGAGATATTTTGCTAACAGACAAACATGGTTGACACATTTAATGCTAAARGTTTGAGCAAAAAATCTCATGCACTTATTTGCGCTCATCCAGTATGTGTTGTGAATAACAATCAGCTACAAAAACACCAAATACTTATCAAAAAGTTTGTAAACTGACGTTAAAATAAGGATTTTTGTTTTGTGTTTAGAGAGTAATTAAACCCCAAACCAACTTTTTTTTGCAGATAAACTGTCTAAATTGTGCTTTAAGTGTATTATATTCATATTTCTATGCTAATTTTAAATTTTTTTGTAAATGTGTTTAATTCTGAAAAAGTTTTGTTTAAAGCCATCTTAGTGCTGCCCTCTATGGGTTGAACAGCTGCTACTGCAGTTTAATTTTCCTATTGGTTAAAATGGTACATGCTTACAACAGAGGTMTCAGTTCAGGTGTAAAGCCGATGAAAGTTTGTTACTATTTTTGAACATTTGCTTTTTAAATTTTTTTTGTAATGATGCTACCTTGACCATCTTTTAATCCGTTCTAGTTGAAAAAGTTAAATACTTTGACACATGAAACCTGTACTGGATTATTTTGCACATACAGCAGTTTGTGATTTGCRAAACATCAATAAATGCTGTTTTCAGCACATTTTATGCATCTGGACTACACTAGACCTGTTTTCAAAAATGCTAGCTTTTCAAATGAAGCTACAGTAGCTGTCACATCTCCTGTTTCTGACTGCTGCTGATGCTCGTGTCACAGTTGACCATGCCCCTCAGTGTCTCTTGGCACCGCCCACTTGGTTGGCATTTTTCTAATTTGCCTGGGGGCAGGGTTGTGCTTTCACAGCAGGGGTTAGTTATACTTTAAGGTCAGTTGTCTGTGGCAGACATCTTGAACTGGATTAGCTA